GTGAAATAATTGTCAGTGAAATAAACTTGTCGGTGAATTGATTGTCGGTGAAATGGCATGTCGGTGAAGTGAGTGTCAGTGAAACGATACAGACCCCTTTTAACTATTATGTTACCACCCTTGAACTATACTATCAATTAGACCACATCACCATATTTACTATACATTGTAGATCTTAGTTTTCTTATTTATTTGATAAATAATACATATATATGCTCTTTGTTCGAGTAAATATTGAAATAACCCTTGTTAAAAGCTTATATTGCTTGGCCTATGGCCACTCCAAATTGATTCTTCGTTTAACATAACATCAAATGGTTCATAAGGGGGGGAGGGCATAAAAAATACACAAATTAAAAAACTAGCAATTTTATTGGTTGATTTAACATGTGTTAGTTATATAAAATTTAAAAAATTGAGGGGAGTAAATACTATTAATTACTATTAATAAGTATTGGGTTCATATAAAATTTAAAAAATAGGGGGTTATATTAAACGAAGAATTAAATTGGTCTGGCCTATTTAATAAACATGTAAAATTTTATATTAGTATAACCTTCACGTTTTAACATTTCATAAGCTAAGCTTCAGCTTAATAATTTAAACGTAGTCAAAACTCAATAAACTCTGCCAATTACCAAATATTTACCTTTACTCTTATGAAAACTCCATGGAGAAAGCGATTGAAAACAATTAGAAAAGATTTTAGAAACACTCTAAACGAAGAAACTTTATTAATAAATATGGATACCTTTAGTTTAACTTATTATGGGTAAGTGGATAGTGAAATTGCCAGTTTTTAGATTACAATAATATATCAACTTTTCAATTGTCCATAAATAGTTTGTATAACAATAATTTTGGAATCTATCGAATACAAGTTTCTTCTATGTTGCTTTGGCCAAGTCAAATTAATTTAATTATCAAGCTGAAGATGACTGTTCCATTTTATCTTCGGTCTAATCATAAATAAAAAAAAATCAAAAATAAATTGTAAATATTAATTTTATCTCAAGATTAGTAACAGATGTATCGCATGTATTTAAATATTCAATTCATAATATGAAATACTTGACTAACTACTAATTGTACTCGTACTATCAATACTATCTCATCTGTTAAGGGATTTATGTCAAAATTCTGAGTCAAAATCCCAAAACTTAATTGTCAAGTTGTGTGGTGTCGAAGTTCTGATATTTAAAATCTGCTTATGATTTGTAAGCATGCTTACTAATCAAAGAGGATTTAAAATTTCAGAACTCCGACACCATGCAACTTGACAATTAAGTTTCAGGATTTTGACTTTTAGAATTTTGACATTAGCTCTCGGTTAAGTCTATTAGAATGCTTTTCGAATTCTGTAGCCTCCAAAGCTATTTGCTTTTGAATATTATTTTTAAAAAATCTATTTATTAAGAATTTGGATATAATTGAAATATAAACAATTTTTAAAAATTAAAAATTATCAACTTACTCTTCAAAAGATCTGTTGCCCGCATCTGTCATAATAATTTAGTAACAACCTCTTTGTATATATCTTCACTTTTTCCAGTTTTGTCATTTGAATACATTTATTTTAGTATCTTCATAAAGAGCTTTCAATTGGTACCAGTGTTCATTCATCCAAACAACAGATTGAGAAGTCTAAGCTGATAATGAACTACCTCCTAATACTGACTAGTTCACATTCATAAATAATACAAAATAAGATTTAGAAGTTCTTGGTTTCATAAATACTGGTGAGTATATACTAAAATATAATGTATTACCAGATGTATCTATTATATCACAGGTTTGATTTGCTGTTAGAATACAACCAGCATTTGCAAGGATAGTTGGATAATCAGCAGGAACAACAACTAGATCAGAATCAATAAGTAGAGATTTTTCAAATAAAGTATGTCTATTGGCAGTTGTTTCATAAACAGTGTTTTCTATTGTAGATAAAAAAAAAAACAATAATAAATCAATTTATTAAAATTGTAAAATATAACAGATCCAGGCCTCTTGTACAATCTTTTATGGGAATTATATATATTTTAATATAGATTTAAAACTTACCTTGTGAATTTTCTGTTCTTTTTACAAAATATTATTCTATATAATAAAAATTTAATTAATACTTATTGTGAAAATACCAGCTATTTTCATATATTAAGTAATATATAATACAATAAACAAAGCTTTATAACAAAACAAGCATGTAACTAATTTTTCTTCAAATAAACAGATTTTGTTTGTAAAAATTTCTTTAAAATCCTTTTTCTGCAGTCTAAGGACAAACTATCTTATCAAATATGATTTAACAATCTATCTGATTGGTATCTGTGCTAGCCCAAATATCTTTTTATAAAAAGCAAACCAAAGGGTTTAAAATATTATAAAAATATAATCACCTGTTTGCTTTTACGTTTTCTGCTTGTAGTATTTACATGTTTCTTTATTTTGGTTCTATCAAAATAAATTTTTTTTTTTATTCACATCCTTATGAACTCCCTATTATACAAAATAATTTTAAAGTTCTAGAATCTTATTCTATATAATAAAATTTAATTAATACTTACTGTAAAAATGCTGGCTATTTTTATATATTAAGTAATATATATTTTTATATAATACAATAAATAACAACAAAACAGACACATAATTAATTTTTCTTCAAATTAGTAAATTTTGTTTGTAAAAACTCCTTTGAAATCCTTTTTCTGTAGTCTAAGAACAAACTATCTTATCAAATATGATTCAACAATCTATCTGATGGGTACTTGCGCTAGCCCAAATATCTCCTTATGAAAAGCAAACCAAAGGGTTTAAAATATTACTAAAAATATAATCACCTGTTTGCTTTTACATTTTCTGCTTGTAGTATTTATATGTTTCTTCATTTTGGTTCTATTAAAATAATTTTTTTTATTCATATACTTATATACTCCCTATTACACAAAATAATTTTAAATCCTTAAATCTCTAGAATCTTATTCTATATAATAAAAATTTAATTAATACTTATTGTGAAAATGCTGGCTATTTTCATATATTAAGTAATATATATTTTTATATAATACAATAAACAAAGATTACAACAAAACAAGCATATAATTAATTTTTCTTCAAATAAACAGATTTTGTTTGTAAAAACTCTTTTGAAATCCTTTTTTTGTGATCTAAGGACAAACTATCTTATCGAATATAATTCAACAATCTATTTGATAGGTACCCGTGCTAGCCCAAATATCTCTTTATAAAAAGCAAACCAAAAAGTTTAAAATATTACTAAAAATATAATCACCTGTTTGTTTTTATATTTCCTGCTTGTAGTATTTATATGTTTCTTCATTTTGGTTCTATCAAAATAAATATTTTTTTTGTTCGCATTCTTATGGACTCCTTATTATACAAAATAATTTTAAATTCCTAGAATCTTATTCTTTATAATAAAAATTTAATTAATACTTATTGTGAAAATGCTGGCTATTTTACATATTAAGTAATATATATTTTTATATAATACAATAAACAACAACAAAACAGGTATGTAATTAATTTTCCTTCAAATTAGTAGATTTTGTTTGTAAAAACTTCTATGAAATCCTTTTTCTGTGATCTAAGAACAAACTATCTTATCGAATATGATTCAACAATCTATCTGATGGGTATCTGTGCTAGCCCAAATATCTCCTCACAAAAAGCAAACCAAATGGTTTAAAATATTACTAAAAATATAATCACTTATTTGCTTTTTTCTGCTTGTAGTATTTATATATTTCTTTATTTGAGTTCTATCAAAATATATTTTTTTTTGTTTGCGTACTTATGTATTCCCTATTATACAAAATAATTTTAAATCCTTAAATCTCTAGAATCTTATTCTATATAATAAAAATTTAATTAATACTTATTGTGAAA